AATAGTGGAAGTAATCACAGATAAACCTTGAAATATGCTGTATATCAGAGTGTTACATTCATGAGTAACTATTTATTGATCTATTGATTGATTAATTTATTGCTTGATTATTTATTGATGCAGCAATGGCCTCCTACAAAGTTCAGGTTAACTTTCTTTGCTGCGTCATTATCAGACAGGTTGGTCTGACATGTTGATTGGCTTCGGTCTGATACTGCTGTTCAAACACTGTACTATCAATCAACTCAGTAACCAATGGTGGCTTTCTCTTCCCTGTTTGCATTTGTTCTGGATTCACTGTGTAGTCAAACACGTCTCCTGGCATTAAACATGGAACAGAAATGTATTATTGTATGACGTTTAGCTGCAGCTTTGGCTAAATAAAAACCGAATTACAAACATATCAACCTCTTTAATTTGCATGCAGTCTGAGCGGATCCTCCTCTGCCCCTCGTCTATTTGGTGTGAGAGTGCTTAATGAAATATTTCAACACACACCTGCATCTCCTCTTCTACAAACATCTGCTTTCTTGTGGCTGAGGATACATTTTGACTTAGAAAACATGAACAGTAGCAGGATTAATCATCCTTAAACACCTCACATTTCAGTACATCGACGCCACCCTGAAAGCAGACAGGACCAGTGACTTCTAAAAGGTCACACAGTTTTAAATTGTTAGCATTCTTTGTGTTTCATGGGCCTGTACGTGTCTTTCATGTATTTATGACTTCTTTAAATGTGAACTTTGGTGAAAGACTTGACTGAAAGCTTAGAGGAGTTGTAGTAGAGAAATATGAGGATGAGAAACTAGTCCATAATATTATTTCTCAAATTTAATTTTGTATAAAATGAATTTATTTTGCTGTGTATTTAAAAAGCTGTGTTGTAAACTGTGACAGTATACAGTAAATTTGAGAAATAAAATGACACAATAAGTGACTGGCTTCCTGTTCCTACTGTGTTATTCAACACTGTGGCCTTTCTGTATATCTGATTTTCTGTAGCATTTTTTATTCATTGGGGATTTTGTGGGGCTCAACTTTGTCTAGCAACCCAACAAAACTTGCCTACTGTCACCACTAGAGGGCCATAAATACTCACATATCTGCACACAATATATTACACTGTATGAAATGCTTAATGTTCCACCAGTGTCTGTAACTTCATCACTTCATTATTAAACATTTAAAAAATAGGGCCACAACCATAAAGAATGTCCTGTGGAAGGGAAATTAAATTCAGCTCTGAAGTGCTTAAAAGCAGATAATCTGCTTACTTCACAAGTGCACGTACACTAATGTTTTAAACTGAAGTAAGAGACATCTTTTAAAATAGAAAACATTTACATATATTTATAGATCCTGTATTTTTCAATGAGGAAGAGAATATATATGCCTTAACAAATATCTGTTAATTGAGCTTCTAATGAAAACAAAAATACCTTAAACACTAATTATTACTCAAAGCAGAGAGTTTTTATATGTCTTAAAACATCTGGTGAGAAGCTTGAACTAAACTTTGCATTTTACAGTTTAGTCATTCTTGTATTCACTGTATCTCCCCAAAGAGTTAGGGGAGTGGAGTCGGTTAAGGCCATCGCAGAATTTGTTGAGAAGAGGAGGAAATGGAAGATTGACTGCTGAGCCGGCTCTGAGCCTCCCCATTCATGACGAGAGAGCTTAGTGTCTAAAAACAGAAGAGGGGGAGATTGGGGAATTTGACAGTTAGCGAGCATGTGTTACATTAGGACATGATGGTCAGTTGAGTCCCTGTGATGCCTTTTTTACAGAAGCAAGACAGATTACGTAATGTGAATGAAAAGTCTGTATTTACAGAGATAACTGCTGCAAATTGTTTTTCAATTTGGGTTTTTAGATACAGACTATAAGATATTGCGAAGAGTGGGGATCTTGAGTCACTATTTGCAAGATGACAATTAGATTTGTTTTGGGGTTATTTCCCAAAAATATGTAACCCATTAGTTACAGATTCTGTGTTATATCATTGGCACCTGGACTTGCTTGAGTTTCTTGAAGACGTTTCACCTCTCATCCAAGAGGCTTCTTCAGTTCTAATGGGCTGGTGCAGAGTCGCAGGCTTTAAACTCTGTGTGGGTGGGAACCCTTGCAGAGTCGTTAAAGGTCACATGTAAATTGTTGACCCATCCAGCCATCATGCGTGTCATTGGGGTTAGATAGGTCCAGGTGTGAATGGGTGTCAAGCCGTCTGGGGAGGGATCCCAAGGCTGCATTGTAGGTGGGTGATAAGCTTTGTCGTAGGCCACCTTCTCTGTTAAACAATGGTCATTTCAGTTTGCTGTAGATGGCTTCTTTCACGCTTCTTTCAAACCATCTGTCTTCTCTGGCCAAAATGTGTTTATTGCTGACACATCTTCAGGAAACTCAAGCGAGTCCAGTCAGCAACAATAAAGCACTTAGGATTACCATGACCTGAATGACACCAACATTAGTTAAAGATCAAACTTATCCTCTTTTCTCAAGATAACAAATGCTGATCATATTTTAAATTTCAAGCTAATTATAATAAGACATGGATAAACATCCCTTCATGACAATTGTAACTCGTGCCTCCTTTACTCTCCTGTAATTTCAAATCCAGCCACTCCTAGTAATCCCTTTCCCAACCTTCCCTTCGCCAGACCTCCCACCACCCACACATTCACCTGCTTCACAATAACTAAATCACCCCAGCAGTATATATACCTGCCTATCTCCACTCATTCATCACCTTAGCTTGACTGTGAACTGCTAAAAACAACTTGGTCCTTCTAGTCAGCCTTGCTCTGAGAACAGCTTGTTGTCGAATGCAAATTAACTAAGGACAATGGCCTGTCTTGCGCTCTTCTTCTCCTGTGTTCTTGACTAAATATGAGCATCAGTACTTTTGTTCAGTGTGACAAAGCACAACAAAACACCAGCTGTTTAATTGGTTCAGTTATACCGGCCATTTTATTGGGTACACCTGTTCAACTGCTCGTTGACACAAATATCTCGTCAATCAATTGGCACCAACTCCATGCATTCAGGCACGTAGACATGGTCAAGACAGTCTGCCGAAGTTCAAACCAAGAATCCAAATGGGGAAGCGATATGTTTTCAGTGACTTTGAATGTGGCATGGTTGTTGGTGCCCTATGGACTACCTTAGTTATTTCAGAAATTCTACTAAAATTTTCATACATAACTATCTAGGGTTTACACAGAGAATGGTCTGGATACTCCGTTGTCTGAAAAAAGCCTTGTTGATGACAAAGGTCATATGAGAATGGCCAGATTGGAGCTAGTTAAAGCTGATAGAAAGGCAACAGTTACTCAAATATCCACTTGGTACAGCCAAGGTATACAGAAGAGCATTTAGAAATTACGTAAGGGCACCTCACAGTCCTTGTTGGATGCACCACACATTACTGAGCATAAAACTCTAATACCCTTTTCTTATGAACACGGAACAGTGTCCGTTCTGGTTTCTGCAATTTTGAACCATTTTGAGCATTTCGGGCCAAAAATAAATTGGTTCAGAACCAGAAAAGTTGGTTCTCAGCTGGAACCAAAACATTGCAGATTTTCCTTTACCTGCTGTCTGAAATGTGACCACATCAGTGGGGTGCGTCATATTCTACATTTTGGAAAGAGTAGATGGAGTCTTGCATGGTATGGAATAGTTTTTTTGTGTCTTCTTAAAATTATAATAGTGGGTCCATGCTTGTGTTTTTGGATTTAAAGAAATGATGTAATGACAGAACAAAAGATTGTAGGTAGTCAGTGTAATCAGCCATCTTGCTACTACTGATTAATTTCATTGTACATTGTGCAATGACCTCCACTGATAAAGATTCATTAATTACAATGGTTCTACTCAAAACAGGTGGAAACATGGGGCTGTTTCACTAGCACCAAGGTTTCAAGAAACCTGAATGGAACCGGTTAAGAGCCCGAGCCTATTCGATGGAAAAGGGGTATAAATGGAACCAAAAGGTCAGTGAACACACAAGGTTTCAGTGAAACACACTGAGATAGCAACAGATATGGCTACACTCTGTGAATCTGGGGTTACACAGCCTTTAATTTACCGAACCAATGTTGCTGTGGTAGCAACTTAAGTTATATATATAACCCCCCTACTTTTTATGAACAGGGAAATTACCTCTAGGGAACAAAACTGTTTTTTGTACCAGGCTGTTTATTTCTGCTGTACAGTTGGGCAGTTTAATATGGGGGTTTAAGGGTATTGACTCACTCTTGGAGCCAGCCTCAAGTGGTCATTCGAGGAACTGCAATTTTTGACACTTAGGTGTTGGCTTTATTTTTCAGCCCCTTCACTAGTTAAGTGTTACTAATAAAGTGGCCCGTAAGTATATTTATCAGGCCCTCAGGAAAGCAGCACAGTCTTGCTTCCAAATTTTCTCAGTGGCCACTTACGGTATAACAGCAAAAAAAAAAACAAAAAAAATCCCCTGCGGCCCAAAAAGCATTTTCCCCAAAAAACACCATTGACGTCTGGAAAACTGTTGACAGCACACCCTGAAACAAACACAAACAAGGTCAATTGGTACTCTTTTAACTCAGAATTTTTGATTTTGATTTTTGATATATACATATGTATACATGCATACTATGTATATAAACTGTTCCAAACATGCCATTCCAGTATGTTCACTCATGACTTATTTTCCAATCAGAGATTCAAACCAATGACTTTCTTGTCATGGGATTGCCTAAATCCATCAGTGGTATAGGCTATACTGTAAAGCTGTACTGGTTTGTGTTAAGAAGGGTTGAAGTTTAGAGAGCACCACGAACCATGAGACCACAACACTGTCACTCTTATCTCAGTTCAAGCTGTTCCATACCATACTGTCAGATTAATCACTATAGGAGTGGAGGTCAGGAGGGTTATGAGTGAGAGAGGAGGAGAGATGAAGAAAATAAGAGAGGGAGAGCTGGTGATGAATAGACACACTATAGAGAGCAAAGGGGAGGGAAAGTAACAGATGGACTTGTGAGGATTAGAGAAATCTGGGTGGTTTCTGATAGAAACTCACCCAAGACAGAGGAGGGAGTGACGAGGGAGCGTAGAGGGAAGGTGAAGGAAACTGAATCTCTGCTGGAGGAGAGGTGAAAGAAACATAAAGAGTCCTCAAACACGGTGAGTCCAAATGTTTTTTTAAGTGTTTTTATTTTGTTGCTTGAGTGTAAGCTGATCAAAAGTTTAGTGTTAACAGCAGCTGGATTTTTCCAATCACATACAACGATTTCAGCTTATCATGATGAGATGATACAAATCATAGACACAAAATGAGTACCATTCTGTTTCTATAGTACAGACAGGGAAAGCAATTTATTTACTGTGAATCTCCTGCTGTTTTAATGTAGATAATATATTCAGTGTTTTCATCTCTCTGTAGAGACATTTAGACCAGTCAAAACAGAATTTACCAAACAAAACTCCCTAAAAATCAATGTTCTGTTGGGTGAAATAGCAGACTGACTTCATGTCTCAAAGCTGTTTGCCTGCATCAGTTAATCTGTCAGATGCTGATAACATGGACAGGTGTGTGGAGACATATCAACACATGTACAGTAAGTAAAGGTAGAACACTAACAGCCTCAGTGTACTGTATGGATTATCGTTTTACACCAGGAGAGGATTTGATAGAATAAATTAAAGCCTGGTTGAACATAACCTTTATGATCAGAATGATTTGAATGAAAGGATGTTGCCTCTGATCAGGGGAGAAAAAGATGAGGATGATGTTTTTTTCTGCATGAGTACATCAGAACTCTTTTTTGGGACAGACAGATAACCTGTTAACTCAAATCGTATTGGAGTGGGGAGGTGGCTTCTGAGGTTCCAGCTCCGAATATTTTCTCAAAAGCCCCAAATCTATGGTATACCCTAAAGAAATCTAATGTTATTGGGTACATGTTCTGTGTCTTCGGTGTTATATTCATTTCAGAGTATTGAAGATCACATTTAAGCCTGATTTTCACTGTTTAACACATTAATCAGCCTCACTTGTTTGTTTGTTTTTTTTTTCATTTAATTTAAGTTTATTTCATTTCATTTATTTGACTCACGACCATAACACATGGTATGGAGTACAAACATTACATAGAATAACAAAACAATGACACAGCGTGGCTAAAGTACAACCAATGTTACATAAACAAAGGGAAGGACATTCTTCAAAAAACACCCAGTTTATGAATTACTTTTGGTTTATCTGATTGTAATAACAAAATTAACCCAGTCATAGATGGACGGTTTAAATAATAATTTGGCAAATACCCTTCTCTGTAAGTCATCAGGCTTACATTCAGACATTCAAACAAAATTTGATACTCAGGATCATTATCACACATGTTGCAGATCCTCTGATTTCTGTCCAGCCCTTTATATCTTCCAGTGACTTCTGGATTTCTGGTGTTATTTACTCTAAAATTACAAATAGCCTGTCTGTACTTTTAGGTGTCATGCAACAGATACTTCTCCAGTTCAAACTCTCCTCTTTTAGCCTCTGTTCATCAGTTAGTTTTAACCAGTTGATGTTGTTACACTTTGTGAGAGCAAGAGGTGAAACAAGCCACATTCATCCAGCATCTGCTTAACCTGCAAGACCCATGGTGACACATATACACCTGTATTATGCAGCCTGAGCAGATAGTTGTACATTATTCGACTGATTTAGTTTCTTTACCTTCTATCAGCCTCCCTTAGTAGCCAATAATTCTCTTTTTTAACTGCAGTACAGAGTGGATATCTTCCTAACTCCCCATAGACCATATTATTGCAGGTTGTCTGGTTTTAATTGATCATTTGGTGAAAGGTTAGAAGTTGTTTCCCTGGTAACCAGAGACCCCCTTATGCTCCAAGTCCATTTCTCCCATTTAGTGAAGCATAATCTGCACAGACAGCTGTTTGAATCACACAAATATCCATCTGTAGCTATATGTGTTTTTAATTTATTAATCGTATCTACATTGGTTGATTAGCTCCCAGTCTGTCTGTGAGCAGCAGATTCCCTTCACTCGCTACAGTGTGCTGGGAAATAAAATCCATCAATCATAATGTAAAACACTGTTGATTTCTTCCTGTGGAGTTGACGAGAAAATATTTTGGTTTTGTAAAGGTCTGAACTCTACTCCAGCATATTAGATTTGTAATGCTGTTTATGCCAATCTCCTACCATATCTATAACTTAAAAATATTATGTTATCAGACATTTTTTTGCCTCTTTTTAGGTGGCAGGAATGAAGGAATTAGCAATCCTCAACAGTTGTTGTGTCATGGTTTCTAAGTGATGAAGACAGTTGGAGAACAATTACATACACAATGGGATGAAGCCAGCATGGGTCATGGTTTTCCAATATGATGTACAGACTTTTAGGCGTTCTATTATCTCAAATGGCTTGAAAAATAGCTGCCTTAAATGGGAAACAATGCCCCTGGACCCTCCTAGGTTTGGGCTGAGCCCTCAGTGTTTACAGCGTCTGGCTCCACCCCTTCTCATTGGCCATCGTCTCTCATTACAAACTCATGCTGTGCTGCCAAACATTATTCAAACCCACAGAGCTTTATTTTAAATTCAAGAGAAGATTCCAAAGTTTCCAAAGATAGCAAATATGTCAGGCTAAATTTGAGGGGCATGTGCTCAACATGATGCACAAGACACGTAGAATATTATCATGATGTGGTACAGTCATGAAAAATAAGATGATATAAAACTATTTTTATCTTTAAATCTACGTAAGCTGGAAAACTATGTTAAAGGGTATAAATTCTGTTGCAGATAGAAATCATATTTCATTACATACAGTGTTCATAAAGAACACAGAACTTATTGATTGTGCCCTTTGGCATCTACAGTTTGTTGAAAGACTGTTTGGGTGTAATGAAGATATTGTTACGTGACACTATGTCTGAGACAAAGATTTCAGTCGCAGACATGACTCAACTGTTCCTCACATCTCATAATCCAGATGTTTGTCTCTCTCTCTCCCTCCCTTCTTTTCTTTTAGGTGGTCGTCCAGTCAAAGACAGCTGATGAGTGTCAGTTGGCATTAATCTCATCCACCTAACCCTGCAAGATTAACACAGATTACCAGACCCAGAGGTAGGCCTGAGATACCGGACTAATCACTCCTTTGCGAGCTCAATCCCACTCGCAGAGGTTGAGGAACAGGTTGAAGAACAGGATGAGTCCTGAAAGCGTGACTGATTAGTCGCAAAATCCGCAGGATAAGATTTAGACGTTTATCTTCATCCAGGAGGAGAAAAGGTTATAAAACAGAAAAGGATCTGAGTCATAATGGCAGAGGAAATGTGGTCTAGGGTTACAGCTTGATGAGAAGAAATGTGTGGAATCAGACATGTCGCCTGGCTTGTGCCGTAATATCAAGAAGAAAAGGGAGGTTTAAACTACTCTGCTGATTTCTTTGAAACTGGACTAGGAGGAGAGCTGGAGTTCCTCCTGCAACCTCTGGCCCACACATCTGTCTCTTTCTTACTCGCTCAAAGTGATTAAATCCCAGCACTTCATCTTCCTCCATTCCCTTGTCCTCTGACCTCCGCTCATCGACTGCTCTCCTTCCTCAAGCTCCCACCCTCCCTTCATCTTTCCACCTGACCTCTGACCTTTGTTCCACTTCTCAAACATCCCTAATCCCCTCCACCCACTTCTTCTCTCTTTTCTCTTTCAACCGTCCGCAATGAATCAATCACCACAACAACAACCCGCGACACTTTATCTGGACTTGTTACTGCAGTGTCACGGAAACCCCCTCGCTCCTCTCATCCTCATCCTGATTGGTCAACAGAGCCTGTCATGCTCTTGCAGCCAGTATTGAACAGAGATCAACATTCAACGTGAAGCTGAAGCACACTCTGTGGTCATCATAACTCATTTCTCCCTGAGTTTCTTCAAGTCCAGAAGCAACAATGCTGGAGAACATGTCCAGGCGTAACCGCTCCCTGCTGTCACTTTCCCTCACTTCACTGGCCCTCACCTTGTCCGTCTCAGCTTTCTGCACCTCCTATTGGTGTGAGGGGACACACAAGGTGGTGAAGCCTCTCTGCCTCTCACCTGTCAAGATGAAGAACTGCGGGCAGAACAACAGCCAGCCGTATACCACAGGTGAGGCCGGGAGATAATATCAAATTATTATCAGTGGTATCAGCCTCATGCACACTGCATGGGTTAGAAGGGGCCTGCTTAACCAGCCACTATGTTCAGAAGGTCATTAATCAGCCCATTAAATGGCCGTTATGAGTTGTCATTGGGAGTATGGATACAAACATGTTTATTGTTCGGCTGTGACCTCTAGTGGGCATAGTTATTATGACTGAAGCTAAGGAGGAAGTCAGGGGTGACAAAAGGAGGTGGTCGGGCCGGTGGATGGGTCAAACAAACACAGTACTTTCACCTAGGAGGCCACTGTCAGTGTCCCATGTGAAACTTAAAGTCAATATTTGTGTAGCGTACTTAACTGACATCACATTACAACCATATATACCGTATAAAAACCTTTATAAAAATAATGGACATAGCCACCATGGCATCACCCTTTGGTTTGTGGACTCCAATTTTCTCCTGGATTTTTTGAGCCAAAAGTGAACATATTTGGACAAGGAGGTGGAGCTCACCCCAATATTAGCTTCTAGCTTGGTGAGTGCTATTTGTTTCCAGTGTTATAAAGTCCCACTGTCCCAATATTTCTCCATCCCAAATTGAATGCAACATCTCCTGAGTCCTGGCTTCACTGTTACTGGTGTTTGGGTCAAGCGCTAAATGCTAATGCAAATTTTTTGCAAGTGGATATAAACTGAAAACAAAAAGTACTTACAAGAGAAACTGAACATCCAACTCATTAAGGGCCTTTTAGTACAAGCAAATGCTGAACAAGACCTTTTTTAGACAACTAAAACATTACAGTCTACTTTTATGAACTGAAAACACACTAAAATTAGCAACAACAATGGCTACAGCTATACTCTGTGAATCTGTGGTTACACCATGGTTATGTTACCTAAGTAAACTTGTCACCTTGGTTACGACTTGTCAATGGACAACAGCCACCTCACCTGAAGTGGTCACACCCTTATTTATGCATAACTTTAAGCCTTAATAATAATTACATGGGTGAGTTACATAAAAATTCAACCCCTGCACAGCTGTCATGCATGTTACCTTAGTCATGCATACCAAAACTGTTTTTGGACCAGGCTGTAAACATGTTTTTTGCTGCTGTACAGTTGGGCATTTTAACATGGGGGTCTATGGGGATTGATTAACTTTTGGAGCCAGCCTCAAGTGGCCATTTGAGGAACTGCAGTTTTTTTGCTTCATTCTTCAGCCCTGGAAGTTGCCACTTCGTTACTTAATGTTAAGTAACAAACATGCTTATTTTAACCCAAACCACAATCTTTTTCCAAACACAACCATGTAGTTTTGACACCTAAGCCTGACAAAAATGAATCTGAAATCAGTCAATTAACAAACAATTATGGCTATCTAAATGTAGGTGTAGCAGGTCCCTTCAAGGCTGATAACCACTGGTAACAGCTATGTAATGGTTGGATAACATTCAAAATGGGTGTATTTGTAAGTCTGTGTGTCTGGTGTTAATACTGGGAAACATTTGGTAGAAGAGTGACCAATTTTTACACATCTAGATTATAAATAATAATTGTTTCAACAGCATTTAAATGTTCATATTTCAGCATATCCTTCAGATTCATCAAAACACGTTTATACAGTTTTATGTAACACAGAAGTCTAAACCAACTTTCACTTTTCAACAGAATGCACCACAAATTTACCAGCTTAAAGTCTGTTGGCTGCCAAACCATGAAATCTGTGTATATCTGGAACTTAAAAGTTATGTTTTACACAGTGAAACAGCTTTCACTAAATTGGCCTAGGAGGGTCTAACATTACCATTCCTTCCATCATGTTTTCAGCCCTGTTTGTTTGTCTGGTTATCAGCAGTAGATTTCAATTACTATCATTTAGATTTGATGTTAAGTTTCGACAGGGGTGCTGGGTACACTTACAGTTCCTAGAATTGTTGCATTACAAGAGGACTGAGAGAAAAATAGACTTCTGCACCTCCTCTTGGCTCTGTTTTCAGGCTTTAGAAAATCTAGCCTGGGTTAGGAGACTATAACCAATCACAGGTCATCCCAGAGAGAGAGACTTCCCATTGGCTGTTCTAGAACTGCAGATGTGTACATTACTTCAGATGTTGAAAGTCTGATTCAGTGGTGGAGAATCCTGCAGAGAAAGTTGACTTTCCAGCTTGGCAACAACTGCCTACACTGCAAAGCAACCGAAAAAGAATGACGTTCTTAAAGAGAGTCTGACAATAAACAAAATAAAACACATGTCGATATTGGTGAAGCATTTCAGAGATGAAGAGAAAATGTTGCTAATAGTTTAGCCTTCTGCTAACTGGCGCTAAAGAGTCACGGCTGCGGCTTCAAGTTCATGTTTTTGTCGCTAACATTAGCTAGAGCCTTGAATAACAATATGTCCTTCACTTCACTCCCCACGACTACAGACCATCTCACCAGGGAGGACAGTGGGTAGCAGGAGCAGTGGAGACTGACCCCCAGTCCACTGCTGCAGCCACCTTAATATAGTCAGTGCAAACCACATCTCCAGGGGACCATACAGCTCCCTGTTGGATCCATAAATTTTTGTTACTGATATTCAACAAGTTAACCCTGGCACTCCTGCTGGGCCACCAGTCTGTTGTGATACCTGGCTTTGGGGGGGTTGCACTGGCCTGATTTTAGCTGCTACCACCACTGAGTTCTGTCTTCTTGGGAAAGCAGTCCACAGCAGCACGGTGTGAAGCAGAGAGACCGTTTGGTGGCTAGCAGCTAATTCTTGTCTCATTCATGATCTGATAAATATAGAGAGAGAGCAGGGCAAAGAATCTGATTAAATAAACCAATGTTTGGGAAACACTGGGTTAGTGTATGAAGCACATGCATATGCCCATGGTCATCTGGGGGAGGGGCTTGGGACGGAGAGGGGAAAGCTGCGGGATGAGAGTGTTGATGAAGGCATAATAACAATCGGTAAAAAAACATTTTTTTACTATATTGCATGTATGGATGATTTAAAATGAAAATGCACCTACATGCTGCCATCATATTTTAAACAAACACTCTGTACATAAAGCTGCATAATAAATGATGTGTACTTTGCACATGTAGAATACTGACATGTATTGCATGTTCCGACCTTCCTGTATGTGAAGCCTTGCCGTCACATGTGTCACAGTAAAAAAGTGTTGATATTTCATCCCTTAGAAAATCTGTCAGCATAATGATAATGTCGTTATTAATATTTCCAGAAACAGCAAACACTAATCTACTGCAGGATTTTATGGTATCCACAGCATTTTTCCTGCACCTCATATTCCAGTATTTAACACTTGACTTGACCAGCAGAGATTCACATAATCCCAGCTTTGCTGCTAATCTCAGAACTTTGTATCTGCAACTGCATGTTATCGGGATTCACTGACCCGCTGTCTTATCTTTCGGCACTAAGCCTATTTGTTTCCATGTAGTATTCAATTTTCACTGTCATAGAAAATGACAGATTACCTAAAGAACAGTGTTTTTGGGCTGGGTTGTGTTACATGCTGTGACCCAAAGGAGACCCCTCGTAGTATTTATGTCACAGTTTTTTGGCACGTTTGCTTTAAAGAGGATCCCAAACTGCAGTGAGGAAAACATTTCATTTATGAATGTATCTCTCTGCTTCTGCATCTCGTACTCCTGAGCCTACTTATCTACTTCTGTATTCCTTAATTTCTTTTCCCCATTCAGAGACCCCCACCCCGGACCCAAGGCACCCTCCCTCCAATGTGACGCTGTCTCCGCTGCAGAGGGAGGAGCTGGCCAGGATAAAGAGGAAGCAGTTGGCCAATGCAGTCCACTACATCTGGGAAACAGGCGAGGACAAGTACATGCTGCGCTATTTCCACACCGGCTTCTGGCTCTCCTGTGAGAAGCACAATGAAGGTTGGTGATGGGAGCATAAACAGCTATAATTACAAGAACACAGTGGTCAAACAACAAAGGGTTAATTTTTGGAAGCAGCTGTATGGTACCAATTCAGTACCTGACATATGTTTACGTAATATGAAGAACTTTTTTTAGCAATGAAAGTAGTGTGATTACAAGAATACATTCCTTAATACTGTGTTAACACCAAGCGGCAACCTCCGGGGCTGAAAAATTAAACCAGAAACTGCAGTTCCTCTAATGGCCACTTGAGGCTGGCTCCAGGAGCAAGTAGCCCCTTTTACACTGCCAGATTTTCCGCAAATGTTGGGCCGTTTTGCCAGCAAGCTGCGAGCGTGTAGATACACAGAGCCGGATTGGCGAGTTGATCCAAGGTGCCCAATTTTTCGCCTCATAGGGTAGTCATATTGGTGGAACCATTTTAGTTTAAACAGAGCGAGGCGGCCTTCCGCAATGGGAGGGGCTGTTGAGGACTTGTGGGAGGAGCTGTTGATGATGCCGCACGTGCGACCCACTGGCGGTGGATAAACAGGAAACAGCTGATAGCAGGAATTAGCGAGCAGCTAGTAGCAAGAGGGAAATGCA